CAATTTGATGACTTGATGGAGTCGCTGACAATCTCGTTGGGGATGCCCCTATGGAGACTATCTCCACCTTATAGCCGTTTTTGTGAGATCTAAGTTACGTTGGTTGACCTCTCCGAGAAAAGCGACATGGCCAGGTACCGAGGTTGTTGTCTACCACTACTGGGCGTGTATTTACATAAAAGACGCCCGTTGCCGAGCAGACCGAAGAGTTCCTCAACATCGACTCGAATATCGAAATGTACTGGATCTGATGGGAAATGTGTTGTCGTTTGGGGCCTCTTCGATGCGAACTTCTGGTCCATCTTGACAGGGCACTCCGCCATCGCCCGCGACGTGGCCTGGACAGACAGCATACACTCCCCGCACGACACAGGCAAGTAGTCGAGGTCCGACGCGAACGAAGGGAGGATGCCTTTGCCGTACGGGCTGGTCCCGATGCAAATAACCTTAGACGGGGGCCATGCTCAACACGCTTGCCCTTGAGAGATTTTGATACTTCGGTGTTTTCCTTGAGGGTGGCGATATAATCGGCAAGAATGGCATCCTCCTCGTTATCAGATTTAGCTTTAGCGTCACGCTCCTTACGCCTCCCCTGTTTTCCCTTCATTTTCGTTAGATTTGTATTGCGGATTCTGGTGCTGGTATGATGTGAATTGGCCAGCTCAGTAGTGATGGCCTGCTTGACGATACGGATTTTAGTCTGCATCTATACTATGTCGATATCAATCAGAGGTTATATGTTTCTCTGTGCACCATACTAAAGAGAAGTGCCTCTCAGGGTGCTGCTCCTTGATGATGATCTATCCGGTATCTGCATTGGTGTCGAGGCATACTCCTGAACCCTGCCTAAGATTGGCCACGGGAATAAGAAGACATCAAACCCTAATGTGGATGTTAGAATAAACTCGTTAAAACGTATCCTAAACTTAGGTTAATGTTATACTACATTACGCAAATGTTTTATAACGGTAGTTGAAGCGGCTCACCTCCAAACTCACGAAACCATTCCGACCAACCTAAATCGAAACAAACAATCGAGCCTCGATGGTTGTTAGATGTGGTGGTCTGATTCCATCCAGCATTTGTGTTCCGTTCTAAGTTTGTCCTGATTGTCGAGTCGATAAGAGTGTTATTAGGAACATTTTATTTGTTCCTGTCCTGAGATCTTGCTTTTAGTTTGCGTCCAGCCATGGTGCCGCCATCGAGGTCTCCTGTATATTTAGTTAGCAGCTTTTATTGTAGCACAGGGTTCGGGGCAATCAACTTTATTTGTTCCAATGCCGGGGCAGCCATAAAGGGGAATGGGCGAGATGTGAGTGCACGAAGAACTTCCAATGGTGTGATAGAAGGGAAAAAGAAGGAGGAGGACGGGGACAAGGTTGCACAATCTATAGCAGGCAAAGAGCCATTTCTTATTCGTGGGGAAAATTGTGGATGGACGGAAGAGAGAAGTGGATAGATAAGGGAAGTGGCGAGGCAGATGCCCGTAGATAGAGTTGACAGATATCCTGGGTGACGTACCCATAACCTAGGCCAGGGAAGAAAGAAAACCCCGGACCTCGATCCTAATAAAAGGACTTTGGTAATTTAGGTAGTCTAAGTTTAGGGCAAGCTCAAGATAACTTTTGCTAAATTTATTTTAGTATCCCATATCAAGGTTTGATATTGTTTGCCCTTCAACTTGATATAATTACAAACACTGTCATTTTGAGTTGATAGCCCCCACAGCTGATTGGCTCACATCACGCGCCTCGCACGCCTTCACCTGTAACCTCAACCTAGGCCAAGCTCGAAAAGATTGACCTACACAGACACATTGGCATTCTATATCAAGGGATGGAACTGTGTTGATGGTGAGCCGCCCAAAATTGAGATCCAAACCCCGGCAAATCACATAAATGAACTTTATGAAGGATGTAAGAAGGGATGCTGTGGTGATAATCGAGACATGAAGGAAAGGGTAATGCTTGTTGGGAGTAAGAATACTTGAGGATGTTGAGGATATGGGGTCTGGATAAGGGGATCTATTGAGGATAAAGTCTGCTTCGGCTCTGCCTGTAACAGAGATGAACTTTACCAACGTCATTTCGCAATAAGGGGTGGAAGGGTTTGATACCTTGCCTTAATGACCGGCTTCCTAAGTACGAGGGGAGGGATAAGAAGGAGACCCTGATGGCACGCAAAGACTTCAGAAACCGGATCAAAAGATACAGATTAAGAAAATGCAAAACAAAGAATCGGCCAGGAGCTGAGGGCCTCATGTGCGTAGGACTTATGCTGGGTTTATTATTAATGTTCATCAAAACCTTTGTAGCATTAGACTGCGGACAGGAAGGATTCGAAAAATTGAGAACTAGCGGAGGTAAGAAACCCTAGTGCCTCGATTTTAATAAGAAAATATGTGTTAGTTAGGATAGCTTTTACGTAAGTTCGGTATACCTTTTGCCGAGTTTCTTTTGACACCTTATCTTGAGGTCTGATATTCTCTTCCCCCTGAAGCCTTCAACCTCGAGTTGACATAGCGATGCTGCTGCGGAATTCATGGGAGTTTTACCTTCTAGGATTCGTTGATGAGAGCGTGATAGGTGGTGGAGGTTTTCTTTGTCGGCTTCGATGGAAGTGTGAAGTATGACAGGTGTTGAAGATGTCCATGTCATTGGGTGGGAATGTAGTTGAAGGCAGGGTACCCTGTTCGGCTCGCTCTGCCATCGGCGCTCACCTCGACCACAGGATGGTCCACGAGGTGCGCTTGGAGCTGACGCGAAAACTGCAGAAGATTACCTTCATCTTTGGAGATTCATAGCATCGTGGAGAGTAAGGATATCCGTGCCAGCTTAATATATAGCAGCTCAATCTTCAAGCGTTTCAAAGCTGGAGTACGTCTGCGGACGTCCTGAGCAAAATGGCTCACGTGCTCTTCAACTTAGATATTAAGACAATCGATCCTTATAATTTGTCAATATATGAAATAAGCATTGGTTAACATTGTGTTGCGATATAATGTTTGCTACTCCTCGAGAGTCTTTCACTATAGTGGCATTATAGTTTGCAATATTCCACTGCTGTATTCTTTTACGAAAACCACACTTCCTTCGCTCACTTAATGGGGTAATAAGGTGATAGGAGGCAGACTGATCACTCTTAAATTATAAATTCTATTAGGCCTCGAACTATTGTATAGCTAAGCTCCTATTAGAATATCTCTATATCTAGTAAGATATAAAAGGGAACCTCCTTATAAAGGCTAAAATATAATATATAAATATTATTAATATATTATAACTTTAATGTTTTATATTAAGGCTTATAATATACCCTAATAGTGGCCACTATCTAGAATCTTGAAATTAAAAACTTAAGTTGCTTTTTCCTACTATCTACTACTACTTTTAAGCTTCAGATTACTAGGGCAAATTTCTTTCACTCTTTTCGTCGACGTGAAAGGCGAGATTAGACAGTCATCTCAGCATCTTATACGCTGACCAAAGAAAATTGGGCCTCACGGCTGGTTCACACGGCAGTCAACAGCGTCTCTAACTGACTCTATAACATCTCTGGTAATGAGCAAAAAAAGTACCAAACAATCAATGCTGTTGTCACACTCTCCAGGTCTCTTTGCTTGCTCTCGTGCTTCTTTTGACATTGCTGCGCCCAGTTTAACCGGATCAGAGTAAGCTGAAAAGCTTATCTCGAGTCGTTGCGTGGGTGGTTGGTAAATTGCCTGAGAGTTTGGTTTCATATTGACAGACCCAACAGCTAATGCTTGCATGACATGTGTGGCTTGAAAATGGCTCAAATTATATGGCTGGGGAGAAATGGTGGCTTGATGCAGAGAACCGGAACAAATCTATAAGATAGTGTGGTCAAGATGATCCACACCTTGGATTTCCTAATAGTATATTCTGAATTTCTTTTCTTATTATGCAAGCTGGACCTCTGTCATATTTCCTTTGCTTCTTCCTATTTGCCACATGCCCACACCAGACGAAACAGTCCCTATGGCAGAGTTATGGAGGATGAAGCTTCGAAAGGCCGGTTGATAGTTCCAATGCATGAAGGAATTTCGAATTGCATACGATCTTGCAAGCAATCTCCAGTGCCGTAATTCATTCAAACTCTGGCCAGCAAAGAAAGTGTCTTGAGGTTGACATGCCTGATCCAGCCGATTATCTATGTGATTGGCAAGTTACACTGTTCAAAACTGCAAGGCACTAACAAAGCGATCATCCAACGTTAATGTTGTAATCTTGTTGCACTCGCGCCCGCAACCGGATTCGGACACATCCTTTCTCTAACAGTAATAGAGAGACAAGACTTGTATGGCCATATGTTACTTCTTTGTTGAATCAAATCTACGTTAGTTGGCATTCTTACAGCCGCGGGTGTAGTGGCTCGCTCGGTCATCGCTTGAATCTGGAAGTATAGCTTCAATACTGACGCCCATTGACTACCACAACCCCAGTCTTCCGTCAACGCCTCAGAAACAAATCAAAGTGCGCCTCCTCCATTGGGATTGAAAACAGCCTCTTACGCTCATGGCCGATGATCATTCTCAGAAGACGCTCCTATAGCATGAGTCAAGCTCTCAAAGTGCAAGGACAAAGCGCCCCTCCTTCGATTTCATAATCAGGACTCCGACATGCATCCGCTACCAACGACATTATCGGTGTGTATCCTCAAGATATAACGTACTGATCCTGTCGCCGCAGTGCCAAACGATTCACGAGAAAGCTTTGCCATCGCTGATGTTCCGGCTATGCAACAATAGAGGAAGCTGCTTGGCTGCATGAACGAGTCTTTTTAATAGCAATAAGATCACATATCAGCGAGAGATGACAAGTTCTGTAGCTCGTTGCTAAAGCAAGCTGACTTGGACGCCAACAATAGCACATGCGTATTAGCAGACTTATAGACCAGAAGACTTCATGCAGCCAGCTCCATCCAGAGAGACATAAAAATAGAAACAGTAGCAAAAAGAATCCTCAGAATGCAAAAAGAAATTGCCGGGGCAGGATTCGAACCTGCGGCACCTTCCGTCATTGTTTGTAACATACAGAACGATCCGCCAAGACGGCATCATGGAAGGGGTGTTACCAACTACACCACCCAACATTGTTGTTATTTAATAGTGATTCAGTTAGTTTTTAATATATACTATATTAAAAGACTTAATTTAGCTAGCCCTACATAAATAGGCAATTGAGACCTCTGGCTAAGAGCTTAAGCCAGTAAAGAGGACTTAACTAAATAGAAAGATTGAAATATAGTAATGTAAAGGATCCTTAGAATTAAAAAAAAGAAAAGGATATTTCCAGGGCAGGATTCGAACCTGCGGGGCCCTCCTTCAACCCTTCATAGCAAGCTACAGAACGACCCGACGAGTCGGCACCGTGGAGGGGATGTTACCACTACACCACCCAGCATTGTTGGTTTTTGATAATGATCCAGGTAAGTTTTAACATGAACCATAGAGAAAGAGGCTCAACATTAAGGTGCAATCAGGATACTTCGAGTGGCCAGGGAATCGGGCATGAGCTGCAGCACGGGTATACTCTCGATAATAAAGTAGCGCGTGAATCGTGTCAATAAGAACAGAACTCAAGGCTCAACGTTATATATAGAGAATTAGTGGTAAGCCGTCGCTGAGATTGATTTACTTATCTACGTGGGCAGGTTGACAATGCAACTCGGTTATCACGTTCTGTCTCTCGACTTGCCCGAAGCCTCGCCAGCATACAGTCATCGAGTAACTGGGTGTGCGTGTGCTAACCCCAAAGTAGTTTTCTTGGATGGCATCACGACTTATTGCAACTAAACTTAGCTCTGGAAAGGTTGAGAAACATAGCTTGTCTGTGCAGTTCTTCCTATGAAACATGTTGTATTGGCATTCGAATGTAGGCAGAGTAAGTTGCTGTAGTGAAGCTAACTTTTTGTCATGACTTGTTTCTCCGATCTGATCCGCGAGGACCATCTCAATCTCAGCGAGGTTCGAACGTTATCAGGTGATGCAAATTTCAGGAGCGCTACCTTATCGTCAAGCATGGGGAAGGTGCTGCCAGTGCGAACCGTAATTTGCCTACCACCTACCTCCCTGGTAATGACCTTTCTGCCTCAGCCCCACTTCAGCTCTTTCATCACCGAAACAACTTCTCCTTTTTCTAGCGACGCTTTGTATTCTCATCACCTGTAATTTCTCCGTCTCGTCTACGCCATTCTTCTATAAGACTGCAGCCGCGTGACGGCAGATACTTGCCAGCATGGGAGAAGCATCTTTGTCTTTGACCTTTCTGTGCCAGGGATTTGCATTTGCTATTCCACAGTCTATCGCGCGAGCGCAGTCTCCGAAGCTCGCAGCTTCTCTCGATGCCGCTCAAGAAGTGCGATATCCCGCAGCCCATACTCTCCAGGGACACTGACGCTCTGTAGATATCTCAGAATCCGGTTATCACTATCAAAGACTTCTCCTTGGACACAGTAAACTGCATGGTTGAATTCTTCAAGTCTGGTTGCTACGAAGTTGACCGGAGGAACTTTCCCAGTGTGCTGCAAGCTGGTATGAAGTCGCTCATTGTCGTTTATGGCTGAGGCTAACCACTATCAGTTGGAGGTTCACCGGCGCCGGAGCATTTCATGCGCGATGTATTAACCTGTCACCTTCAAATCTGCGCTATCGGAACCCGCTATGGCATTCCCAAGTTATGCGAGCTAGCCAGGGACAACATCCAAAAGATCTTCGGAGGGAAATGGTTTGACTCGGTTTTCCTTTTCACTGCCGCCATTGTCTTGAAGTCAAAAGACGATGAATTGCAAAAGCTACTTGTGACTCTTGCGAGGGGGCACCTGCATTCTCTGACAACTTCGAACGGCTTCGACCATGCGACGATGCTCAAAAGTTTTCATCCCAAGCTTCGAGAGCAGGACAATATTCTCCAACAAAAGGGAGATCAAACGAAATCAACAGCGGGGCCATCGAGCCAGAAAGAGAGTTCCACCGAGATTGAGACCCTCCGACTCCAAGTCTCTTCTCTCAAACAACAAGTAATATCAGTCTCCAGTGAGCGAGACCAACTCCGAGAGCAGATATCTGCTTCTTCAGTCAAGAAGGAAGAACTACGACAGAGTTACACGAATATTTCTGCGGAGCGAGACTTATTGTGGAGTAAGGTGTCGACCTTAACAGCAGAGAAGGAAGAACTCCAGAAGGTTGCGGCGAAAAAGCCCGCTTCGACGGAGCGTGATGGACATGGAACAAACGATGCAAACGAGAAATCCTCAGCGGAAATTAAAGCAGAGGAAGACGATAAAATAATCGACACACTCCAACGAGAGCTTAGAGTTACAAGATCCGAGACCGGCTTGCTCAGGGCCAGATGGGCCAAGGAGAAGACAAAGTCGTCGATTCTGACACAAGAGAACGACGACCTCAACAAATCACTCGAACTCGAAAGACGTAGCAGGGTCAGCATTACGGAATTTGCACGAGACGATGTTCGAAATGCCCTCAAAGACGAGCAGAAGGTGACAACAGACTTGACCACCAAGCTCACCCAATCGTCAAAGGCCCTCGAGACAGAAAGAAAGCGCACAGCAACTCTAGTGCAAGAAGTCATTCAGATCAAGAGGAACCTTGAACTGGAGAGACAAGGGAATACTGGCATGTCTCTAGGGGAGCGAGCCAGAATGCGCGAAACTATTGATGCCCAGAAAAGCCAAATTTCGGCGCTCATTAATGCACGAGAGGAGATGAAGAGGGAACTAAAGATGGTTAGAATTGAGAAGAAAAATGAGGTTGACAGAAAATGGGAGATCACCAACAAGATGAATGCGTTAATTCAGACAATGCACGAGTGGGACGAGTGCCGCCATTGCGGTGCCGACTTTGGGACGTACGTGGAAGATCACGGCAGTGCGCTAGTTCTGCGATGCTCTTACTGCACAACTCGTCATGGGCATTGGGCCTGATGTGGTAGGATGGCGTGCATGACTGCGGATGGAGCGATCAAGGAAAGAGATGTGAGGTACTACCTAGCATTATGTGTCCGATCGATTCTACTGTCCGGAGCGTCTTGAAGGAATAAAGAGTGTTCCAGAATGATTTTTCTGTAAGTTATAGAAACATGGAAGTTGCTATTGTATGGTCTGATACCTCTCGGTTTCTTGACCCGGTCCCCCGCATGAGTTAACTAACGGTTGTCGCATCCGACTATCTGACTTATCAACTCCAACTTTCGGATACTATTACCCGATTACGGAGAATCCAAGATACTTTTAGGTTGCACCACTAGACTGAGGGGTAGTGAGTCAACACACGAGACCTACTTATGGCTGATAACAGATACTCATTCCTCACTCTCACTCTTCATCTTTGGTATTCTTTATTGTACCAATAGCAACATGTCACCTAACAACGGAAAGTACGTCGTCTTCGACATCGTCGGGACCTGCGTTTCATACGACAAGCTTACTGAAGCAGTCGAAAAACAACTCGGTGAAAAGCTGCTGGCCGAGAATGTAAAGCCCAGTCTTCTCGTGAACACCTGGATCGAGGCGAGTGAGCGCGAGTTTACTTACCTGTCGATAACTGGTCGATATGTCGCATTTGATAAGTTGTTCTCGTCCCTCTTTTATCGCATGCTCTGGCTCGCCGGCATCGAAGAACCACGGTCCTTCGCAAGTGAGGCTGATATCGAGAAGATTATGCATGGGTACATGGAGCTTGAGCCTAGGCCTGACCTCACGGAGTGTTTCGATAAACTTCGCGCTGCGGGATTCACGGTGCGTGGCCTGACAGCTGGGGACTTCGACAGAGTGCTTGGATACTTTGACAAGGCGGGTATCGAATTCCCAAAGGAACATCTGATCTCTTGTGATTCATTTGGCGTCGGTAAGCCGGACCTCAAGGCATATGCCTCGACCTTTGAGGAGTTGAAGGGGGCAAAGGAGCTTTGGTTTGCTGCAGCCCATATGTGGGACGTAAGCTCAGCTAAGCAAGTCGGGTGAGTGAATTATCGTTGCTTGTTTGCTGTTACTGATGGATGATCCATAGATTCAAGAGTGCCTATTGTTCTGTGCTGGAAAAAGAGCCTTGTGTGGACATCTTTGGTGAGATGGATGTCATGTCGGATACTTTGAGTGAGATGGCGGATAAGATCATCAAAGCTTCTTCTTGAGCTGTTAGAAGTGGCCACAGAGATTGAAATATGACGCAAATGATGCGCAGTTATGTCCCGAATCTCCAAGTTCCCAATACCCAAGTGTCAGCAATGTCTGGGCTGTTGGGGTGAGAAACTTGATACTCTACTGACTAAGAATTGGGGGCCAACCACGAACAGCCTCACGCATTCTTCAAGGTTGACGTTTGCGTCGCGTCCAGGAAGGTGCATCCAACAGCACCATTTGGCCTTCAGTAACCGTACCTAACAGGTTGTTCCTGTCACATTTGAAACAAACAAGGATAAAGATAAAGTTAGGCTTAAAGTTAGCGAGAGCTTGCCATCACATATCTTGGCCAATGCATTCCAGTGCCTAACTGCCCGTTGCTCAAGGTCTCAGACATCTGGCACTCGCCAAGAAATTTACCGAGGAAGGACAGCATTTGTGAGCCCTTCCCGAATGGAATTTCGACAATATTGAATCTAGATTTTTGAACAATGGGCTCATGTCTAGGACGGGTGCGGCCGAACGCTCCCGTTTGCGACTCTAGACGATGGCTTGGTGGCGTTTGTTGGTGAGGCTAGAGGGGATATGCAGGGGAAGATGCATGCCTTTTCGTTCCTGGAAGCCTTTATGAGTGATTTCCTAAACCAGGGAGGCAGAAAAGCTTGGGGCCTACATCTTATGCCATAGAAAATCTTAGACAAGTTCAGGACAAATTTCCTAAATTTAGTATATACTTGCAAACCATTAGACCTGCTTTTTCTTCTTGGCACCCTTCTCAAATGTCAAAGAACTCTTGCTCCCCGAGGTCAGGGATTTCCCGTTGGGGCTTGGAATGTGGTAGCTCACATCCCTCAGCCCAAGGGAGGGTTTTCCCAAGGGCATCATGGCCAGGCAAGACGCTTTCGGTAACTCGTAACTTGACAATAGACTCATCGGTTACAATGTTATTCATCCAATGTTTCGTCTCACCCACCATTCCTTAGGTCAACGCTGAGTCCATCAGGCATTTTCCAACAAAGCAGGCCCAAGCTCCATCCGGCGTCTCATAGCGCGTCAATCTCCCGCCCAATCTCACACTCTAAACAGCGCCACGATACCAGGCACAGCTCTAGCGAAGAGATTCAAGGCCGATGGAACGTTTCAGTTGGAGTCAAATGTGTTGCACATGGTGGCTTAAGCTTAGATTTAACCATGTGTCTTTAAAGGATCGTGATACCAATTGGTCCAGACAGAAACGATATGCCGGGCAAGTCAGATCTAATCGATCGGCATCTATTCTTGCCCTTTTTCTTGATGGTAGCTTATCAACAGCTATTCGAAGCAGAAATATAATGATTATCAGTGTTGCGAAATGTCCTGAGCCGTTATAAAGGGACAGAAACTCCTATGACGAGAGATCTGTTTGCAAGAAACACTGGCAGTTCATGAGGAACGAGACATGGCGTACTCGATAAGCCACTGCAGCACAAAATCAAGATATTGAAACGCGTGATGATACAAGACCTCCGTTTGTCCTTGAGACATTGGCATTTGAGGCTTTAAGCTGTCCACATCCGGGAATGTCACCGTCGAACGTGGTGGGGTTGACAAAGCCGGTCGAGACCATCTGCCATTCCAGGGTACCTTGGCTAACAAAACGACAAGAAATATATAATATTCGAAGGAAAGTCTTCTGAAGGAAAGTAAATCATTACACATAAGTGCTTTCTTCTTTCAGATCTTCTTTACTGCTAGTCAGTTTCAACTTTACGATGCTCTCACGCAAGACATCTTCACTTCTCGCTTTCGCGACTTCAGCCGCGCAAGTTGCTGCTCACGGCCATGTAGACTGGCTTGTCACAAACGGCGTTGCATTTCGAGGCTACTCTGCTCCAGAGATGAGCTGGAATCCTAATCATCCTCCTGTCGTCGGTTGGACCAACGGTGCCACTGACAATGGCTATGTTGAGCCCAACTCCTTCTCAGACCCCGATATCATCTGCCACAGAGCGGCGAGACCTGGGAAAGGGCACGTTTCTGTCTCAGCAGGCGACAAGATTACTCTTCAATGGAATACGTGGCCAGAGAGTCACCATGGGCCTGTGATTGACTATCTTGCTAGATGTCCGGGAGACTGCGAGACAGTTGATAAGAACGATCTTGAGTTCTTCAAGATTGGTCAAGAAGGTCTCATTGATATGTCGATGCAAAACGGCAAGTGGGCATCTGACGTGCTTATAGCTACTGGCTTCTCTTGGACACTTCAAATTCCTGAGACGTTGGCTCCTGGGAACTATGTTCTCCGCCACGAGATTATAGCTCTGCACGGTTCTGGACAGCCCAATGGAGCGCAGAATTACCCTCAGTGCTTTAATCTCAAAGTCACCGGTGACGGAGACTTGGCTCCAGATGGCGTCAAGGGCACACAACTCTACAAGGCCAACGATCCTGGTATCCTCTTCAACCTCTATACAACACCTTTGTCCTACAGGATTCCGGGCCCTACATTGGTTCCTGGCCTCCCTTCTACAGTATCTCAGCGTGTTGTCGCCGCAACCGCAACATCGAGTGCAACTGTGCCAGGGCAGAGCCAAGCTAGCACGAGCAGCAAAGCTTCTTCTTCTACATCAAAGGGAAGCTCGGCATCGACCAGCAGTGCTGTTGGAGGAGATACAACACTCAAGACTTCAACAACAAGCAAGTCTTCTTCGTCCAGCACAACGAAGGATGCTCCACAGCCCACAGAGGACGACGATATTATCTGCGGTCCTGCTACAGGGGGTCTTCCAAAGTACAGCCAATGCGGAGGTAAAGACTATACTGGACCGACAGTTTGTCAATGGGGGTCGAGTTGTAAGGTTCTCAATCCTTATTACTCGCAATGTCTTTGATTGATAGGTTTCTGCGATGGGTTGCAGCAAACTCCATTCCTTTGTAATGCTTGCTTGAACTGGCTACTAGTTGACAATAAGAACTATGAAACTATTTCATTATAAAATACCGTAATTATTATCCTAAAGTCTCAACACTCGTTGAGAATTGATCACTTTATGATAAACTTATAAAAGTTGAGAAGAGTTTAAGAATAGGCGGCTTTTGCCGAATTGCGTCAGCCTCCAATAATTCATCCAACATCCTCCGGCAATACCGGCAGTATCAGATCATGATTCTTGGATGTGAAAGTCAAAAACAAGAGCTAAAAGTCTGATATTAGTCAATTATTCTTCATTTTAGCTTAGCCTGTGCTGTTCTGGATGTCATCGACGTCATGTCTAGCTTTCTCCGCGGAGTCAGGATTCCAAAAGCGTCACGTTTTAGGTCTTCATAAATTGTCAAACCACGTTCAAGGTTCAATTCCATTGATCTGCAAACATCCCCCCAAGGTATTGAAATCATGCCTCACAGCAAGCCTTGGGTTGTCAAAGTTCAGGCCCACCCTGGGTCGACAGCTGAAGAGATCCGGAACGAGCCGGATTGGGTTTCTGGGCACCAGCACCGCGTTGGCTTCAGAGATCGCAATAATAGACTTCCTGGACTTACTCATAAAGACGATGAGTACAGAGAGGAAGTGGCGAGAGAGAAGCAGAAGTATCTTGCGTTTCAGAAGCGAGCCAAGAGTGGAGAATTGATCAATTTCAGAGACTTGATTGAGAACCAAAAGGTCAGTATCACATGGTTGAGTGGGTGATAAAGCTAATTGTTTCAAGGACTTTCATCTTCGACATCCAGAGAACCGATCACTTGGTTGGAGATATGTTCTCAACGCAACCGAAGATTTGGTCAAGAATAAAGAGCCATGGCCCGCAAACTTAAAGAAGCGGGAGGAAGAGAACAAGAAAAAAGAGGAAGAATCAAAGAGTGATAAGAAAAATGATACGCCCGAGCAAGAGCAAGAGCATGAGTGGAAGCGTTCCTCTGATAAAGACAAGCATCATGACGCATACGCAAAGAACAAAGAGAACGAGGAAAAGAAACAGGGAAAGATTTCGAGTGCGAAGCCAAAGCTCTCAGACAAGTATACACCTGCCGAGATAGCCCTTCTCAGAGCATTGGAGCACGAAAAGAAGTATATCCAACACCTTAGAGAGAACAACGGAAAGAGAAAGTCCCCCCAGCACAAGAATCTCACGCAGATCTCAATCGACGAACAGGACCAGTTCAGCCCAGACAACTGGCTTCCTCGCTCTCCTGATCTCATCCGCCTAACTGGGAAGCACCCTCTCAATGCTGAGGCGCCGTTGACGCGACTGTACGAAGCTGGCTTAATCACGCCTAACGAGCTTCACTATGTTCGAAATCATGGTCCTGTTCCGCGTATTCTCTGGGAGTTCCACGAGTTGGAGATCACCTACGATGGCAAAACTGAGACACTTTCTATGGATGAGTTGAAAGAGTTTGATACAATCAACATCGCTGTTGCGCTTGCTTGTGATGGAAACAGACGCAAGGAACTCAACATGATCAAGAAGAGCAAGGGTTTCAATTGGGGCGCTGGAGGCGCGAGTTGCGCCTATTGGAAAGGACCCCTTCTTCGAGATGTGCTCCTCGCGAACGGTATTCCTGAGAAACCTCCGGGTATGGGCGAGAAGCGATATTGGGTCAACTTTGAAGGCACTGATGATTTGAGTGAAGGAAAATATGCAACCTGCATACCCTTTGAGCACGCAATATCTCCCAATAACGATGTTATTCTAGCCTACGAGATGAACGACGTTCCGTTGCCGCCTGATCACGGATATCCCGTTCGTGTTATCATTCCAGGATATGTTGGCGGCAGGAATGTGAAGTGGCTAAAGAAGATCTGGATAAGTGAGAAAGAAAATGATTCTTACTATCATATATGGGATAATCGAGTTCTTCCATCCTTCGTCACTGAAAAAGACGGTCCTTTCGCTGAGGCTCTCTTTCATCATCCCGATACAGCCTGCAATGAGCAGAACCTCAACTCTGTCATCGTCAAGCCTGCACAGGGTGAGAAGATTCCCTTGCACAGAGCCAAGAAGGGAGAGAGCTATCGCATAGAGGGTTATGC